AAAAGCCAATGCGAAGGCCGAACGAGAAGTTGGGATATCGCCAGTCTTTTAATAAAGCCAGTGCAGCGTGTATTGAAATATCCACTATTATTGCAAGTAAGAAAAGTTCAAATGTAATCATGAACATGTAAATATTATGCTGTGCTATGTTAACTTTAACTTATTATTGCGTATGTTTATAGCAAATTTTATCCCTTACAAAACCTTCACATCCAGATTATGAGTATCTTAAATTTTCTTTTTCAGAAATTACAAAAGTTGCAGAACGTATTAATGAAATAAAGAGGCGCAAAGATATAGTTGAAAAAATTGTGGGCAGTAAAAAAAAGTCAGATGCAGATGTGAGTGTTTTTCTGTGCATGTATTATATTTAATTGAAAGTATGAATACTTAAAATGTCCCTACAATATATAACTAATTGATAAATAGGTTCTGTGAGTATTTCGAGCATGTAAATTCGATTCTTTTTTCAGGACTAAATTGTAATATTTATGTTCTTTTAGTCATGGCATTACGAAATCATTTACAAGAGGGGGTCAAATGGTAGGCAGTTGTATCGTTAGTTTGACATTTTTGATTCGAAAATACTAATGTATGAATAATGAAATAAAAGATAAAGCATGCTACTGGTATTGCAAAACCTACTGAAGATGAACTCTATAAAGCTTATATGACCAAATTTAAAACTTTAGAGCAAACAGGGATCCAATTATCTAAAGCTGTGAAAAGTTGGGTAAAGCATGTTAAAAGTAAGTACAATATGCGACATGCATTTAATTGCATATATTTATATTATGTTTATGTTCTGCAGTGTTTTTTGAAGATCAGCAACGCTTTGCAGCTGCAATCGAGGACTTTTATATATTTGGAGTTGCTTCTAATAAAAATTCGGATGATTGCATAAGAATTGTAGAATATGTAAAAGCCATCAGAAGTTTGTCAATATCATGTGGGAAAGAAATGGTAACGTTCCCGCAGTTAGGTTTAAGAGAAAATAATAGTAGCCTAAAAGTAATTGTTTTTTTTTTTTTAACTTGGAAATTATACCTGCTTTATAAATTGGCATTTGTAATTCAGTACGGGACAACATAAGACA